CCCCAAAACCCCAAAACCCCAAAACCCCAAAACCCCAAAACCCCTTTTCAAATTTTATAATTGTAATCTAATTACCCTTTTTCATAATCTGGAGTACATCTTCATCAGCAAGTTCGTGGATGAGTCCCACCTTTTGAGGACTATGCTTAGCACTCTTTCCCCATACATATGCGCACTTGAAGTTGGTCAACAGACCTTTATGGATTTGCTTGATAGCAGCCTATTTTTTGTTAGAGGTTTAAAGAAGCTGGCTTACCTTTACTGAGTATCCTCCTCTTCCTTTCGTGAGAATCAAAGGGTCACTCAAATCTGGTTGAGATCCCTTCTTTTTTGTGTAGACTCTGACTAATCCAAGCATTTCCCAAATTCTTTCCTTAAGGAGTTCAAGTCCAAGCTTCATTCCTGATGAAATAACAGTTGTGTTTGGAAGTCTGGCAAGTTGGTCCACGTCTTCAATAGAGACTGTATCTATCTTGTTATAAACGTAAAGGCATTTAACATAGTGTCTATTTCCTTCAATAGAGTCGATCAATTCGTCAACAGTGTAATCTCCTCTCATCACAACATGAGCATTATGCATTTTGTACTCTGCAAGAACATTTTTGATCATCTTATCATCCATTTTGGTTCTTTTGACAGTACAGTTGATCATGACTCCTCCCTTATTGGTCTGTTTTACTGTGATTAAAGGTTTGGGCTGGTTAAGTCTAATACCAACAGACTCGAGCTCAAGAGTAAGCTTAGCTTTCTGTTCCTCTCCCTTCTGAGTATCAAGAACCATCATGATAAGATCTGATGACTTACCAACAGCGATGACCTGTCTTCCTCTTCCTTTACCTGAGGCGGCACCTTCAATAATACCTGGAAGATCCAACAGTTGGAGTTTAGCTTCGTTATGATAGATAAAACCTGGAATACAAGTAAGAGTAGTAAACTCATAAGCTGCAGAGAGAGACTCTGTCTCTGTGAGTACATTAAGCATGGTACTTTTTCCTACAGAGGGGAACCCGATCATTGCGATTCTAGCGTGTCCTAGTTTTTCTACCTCAAATCCTTCTCCTTCAGCACCTTTGCCACCTTTGGACTCTTCAGTCTGCATAGATCTCAGCTTGGCTAGTTTAGCCTTCAGTGTACCAAGATGGTAATTGGTGGCCTTGTTTTTCTGAGTCTTGGCCATTTCGTCCTTAATCTCATTGATTTTTTCCGTAATACCCATTTTTAACAAATATTATAATTTGTAGCGAATGGGGTTTTGGGGTTTTGGGGTTTTGGGGTTTTGGGGTTTTGGGG